TTGGGCTAACAACCATACTACGCAGTGGTCGTCACAGGGTTACACCTTCAGCCTTGGTTCCGGCTCTGTTTCGTGGTGGGCTACTCGCTCGTCTTCTATTCTCGGCTCCAGTTGTGAGGCTGAGATCTACGTGGGGGCTACGGCTGCACAGGAGCTACGCTAGCTCACCTACCTGCTGACTGACCTAGGAGAGCCGCCTCGTTCTCCTCCAGTTCTGTACGTAGACAACAGAAGGAAGTTTCCTTGGGAACGCTTCCTTGGGTCCACCCCGTCGCCGCCCCTACGCGGCCCCGACGCCGCCCCTAGCGGCCCCGTAGCCGCTCGCCTCCCTACGCGGCCTCGTCGTCGCCCCTACGCGGCCACGTCGCCGCCCCTACGCGGCCCCGTCGCTGCCCCTAGCGGCCCCGTCGCCGCCCCTAGCGGTCCCGTCGCCGCCCCTACGCGGCCCCGTTGCTGCCCCTACGCGGCCTCGTTGCCGCCCCTACGCGGCCTCGTTGACCTCCCTACGCGGCCCCGTTGCCGCCCCTACGCGGCCTCGTCGCCGCCCCTACGCGGCCCCGTCGCAGCTCCTAGCGGCCCCGTCGCCGCTCCCCACCCTACGCGGCCCTGTCGCCGCCCCTAAGCGGCCTGGTAGCTGCCCCCACGCTGCCACGTCGCCGCCCCTAGCAGCCCCGTCGCCGCTCCCCTCCCTACGCGGCCCCGTCGCCGCCCCTAGCGGCCCCGTCGCCGCCCCTACCCGGCCCCGTCGCCGCCCCTAGCGGGCAGCCCAGCCGCCGAGCCGCCCAGCAGCAGCAGCCGCCCCTGGAGCAGCCGCCACTGCAGCAGCCGCCCTTGGAGCAGCCGCCACTGCAGCAGCCGCCCCTGGAGCAGCCGCCACTACACAAGCCGCCCCTGGAGCAGACGCCACTGCAGCAGCCGCCCCTGGAGCAGCCGCCACTGCAGCAGCCGCCCCTGCAGCAGCCACCCCTGCAGCTGCCGCGGAGCTCTCGCTCTACATTGGTAGCGGCATCGCCGTTGCCGCCGTCGTACGCCTGCCCTTCTCGCCACTGCTGAGCACTGCCCTGCCCGTACTGCTGTTACTGCTGCTCTTTCTACTGCTGCTCTTTCTACTGCTACTGTTGCTCCTAGGCGTGCCCAGATGCAGCTCCAGCGTCGCCCGCGTGAGTCCCTCATCCCCCAACAGCTTCGTGAGTGGTACGCTAGTTGGGGTTGTCGGGGTGGCCGTAGTGGGAGTCGTCCTGGAGTGAGTAGTTCCGCAGCTGCTTGTAGTGGCAGGACGCAGCTCCAGCGTCGCCCGCGTGAGTCCCTCAACCCCCAACAGCTTCGTGAGTGGTACACAAGTTGGGGTTGTCGGGGTGGCAGTAGTGGGAGTCATCCTGGAGTGGGTAGTTCGGGAGTTTCTTATAGTGGCCCGGTGCAGCAGCAGCGTTGTCCGCGCGAGACTCTTTCACCCCAGCAGCTTCGTGAGTGGTACACTCATAGTGGAGGGTCGCTGAGTACTGCTCGCTGCCCGTACGTTATTAGCACGGGTGTCCGGACTGGTCAGACTTGCGGGACGCGTGGTCACACGGAGTCTTGCTGCTTCGCGCGTCTGAGCGACACTTGTCGTACACAGTTTGGCGACCACGCTGAGCTCCCTGACAAAGTGGAGCTCCTTAGGCAGAGGGTAGATATCTTTGCTCTTGATTATGATGCTATTCTCACTGCAATGTATGCATTGTCTACTAGTGCCGAGGGAGTCTGTCACCTGTGTGTGCCGCCTGACCCCGGTATCCAGTCTGCTGCTCTAGGTGCTGGTGAGGCTGCTGCTCTAGGTGCTAGTGCGTCTGCTGCCCCAGGTGCTGGTGAGTCTGCTCTCGCAGGTACCACGCTGGCTCAGGCCTTACACATCTTCACCCTTGACTCGGGTGTTTCCCGCTCCTTCTTTCGAGACCGCACCACGCTTACGCCGCTTAGTCGGCCGGTTGCGGTCTCCCTTGCGGACCCCTCTGGGGGTCCTGTCCTTGCTAGCTTCTCCACTCTCCTACCGTGCCCGGCAGCCCCCTCTGGCACCCTGTCTGGTCTCTACCTCCCCTCGTTCTCTACGAACTTGGTGAGTGGAGCTGATCTACAGGATAGGGGGGTTGACCAGTTCACTCCTGCGAGTCAGCGGGTGACCCACTGCACGTGTGCTCGGACACGCCGACACTTGGCCACGTTCACCCGTCGGCCGGGGTCGAGCCTGTACACACTTACTACTGAGTCTCCTCCGACTGCTGAGTGTGGTCAGGTAGCTGCGTCGAGTCAGGTGTTTGCTGCAGCGTCCAGGTCTGGTCCTGGGTCTTCTCCCTGCTCGTGTCGTCTCCTGTCCCACCAGACTCTCCTTTGGCACCACCGCCTTGGTCACCCCTCCCTGCCTCGTCTCCGAGGCATGGCCTCCCGTGTCCTTGTCTTTGGTCTTCCCCGGTCTCTCCCTCCCCTACCTCCGAGGCCTGCCCCTACCTGCGTTCCCTGCGTCGAGGGGCGGCAGCGCGCCGCCCCTCACTCCTCCGAGTTTCCTCCGACAGAGGCTCCTCTGCAGACTCTTCACATGGACGTGTGGGGCCCCACCCGCGTCCGTGGACAGGGGCACGAGCGTTACTTCCTGTTGGTGGTTGACGACTACTCGCGCTACACCATAGTCTTCCCCTTGCGCAGCAAGGGTGATGTCACTGAGGAGTTGATCGACTGGATCCGTGCAGCTCGTCTCCAGCTCAAAGAGAGTTTCGGCTCGGACTGTCCTGTTCTGCGTCTGCACTCTAACGGAGGCGGGGAAGTTTTCCTCTGCCAGTCTAGGAGCCTTCTGTCGTGCACAGGGCATCCGTCAGACCTTCACGCTTCCGGCCTCTCCACAGCAAAATGGGATTGCTTGAGCGCCGCATTGGCATGGTCATGGACGTCACCCGTACGTCCATGATCCATGCGGCTGCCCCCCATTTTCTGTGGCCGTTTGCGGTTCAGTACGCACCGCATCAGCTCAACCTTCAGCCCCGGGTCTCCTTGCCTAAGACCTCCCCCACCTTGCGATGGACGGGGAAGGTTCGCGATGCGTCTGCGTTTCGGGTCTGGGGATCTCGGGCGTTTGTCCGCGACTTGTCTGCGGACAAGCTGTCCCCCCGTGCTGTTCCCTGCGTCTTCGTTGGCTTCCCCCCTGACGCGCCTGGGTGGCAGTTTTACCACCCCACCTCGCGCCGCGTTCTGTCCTCCCAGGACGTCACCTTTGACGCGTCGGTGCCTTACTACTGTCTCTTCCCCTACCGCACAGCGCCCCTCCCCCCGCCGCCGCTCTTCCTTGCGCCAGGTCCTCCCCCGGTAGACCCCCTCCCCCCTCAGGGTCCTTCACCGTCAGGTGTATCCCAGGTAGACGCGGTCGAGCCTGTCGAGGTAGCTATTGACTCTGGTGCTGCTCGAGGTGCTGTGCCTGCGGGTGCCGGGTCTGGGGGTGCGGAGCCTGGGGGTGCTGAGTCCAGGGGTGCGGAGCCTGGGGGTGCTGAGTCTGGGGGTGCTGAGCCTGGGGGTGGAAACTGATATGGAGTCAGCAGCTTCGAGCGGAGAACCGAGGGATGGTCAATTCGACGAACCCTACGATCCTATAAGCAAAACCAACTACGGTTACTCGAAACAGCAACAACCACTCGAGGTGATCTGCAACGGGTGACGCCTCCAGGCACTGGTGGACAGCGGGGCGTCTCACTCGGTGTGCGACCGTGGGACGTTGGAGAAAAATGAAGAATCCTCAAAGGAGACTCAAATTACAGCAACGATGATGGATGGTATGAAGCTTCCCATCCACGGCGAAGCATCACTGCAACTGCACATATGTGAGAGTACGTTGGCTTGTGCCAGCTATGCTTGCTTGCTTTACCTTGTTATGCTATTTCTAGCATAGGATAATTATATGCATGCATGAATTGCTCGCTTTCCTAGGCTAGGTGCTTTTCTATATTTTATTATAGTTACAGCACTGAGCTAGGTTGCGTGCACCGAATTCTGGGCTTTTCGGTTGCCATCGAATTCGGGAAGGCTCTGTTCAGGACGCTTCTGTCAAACTGATATGGTATAGTCTGTGTAGGCTGTAGTGGGGTAGACAATATGGGGTACAACACTTCTAGGTTTTCCTACTTGTACCCACCTGCTTGCTAGTTCATTCATTCCTCAATTCTTCACATGGTATAGAGCAGGTTCCCTAGTGGGAACGCTTCCTTGGGCCCACCACTGAAACTTTTTTTTTTTTTCTGACCGGAACGACAGTTGCTCCTGCACGAGGCGCGCCTTGTGGGCTGCCCTTCTGGCGACCTCTCTTAGAGGCCCCTCTCACGGCCCCTCACGCCGCCCCTAGCGGCCCCGTAGCCGCCCTTCCAGGCCCCTCGCGGCCCCTAGCGGCCCCGTCACCGCCCCTACGCGGCCCCGTAGCCGCTCCCCTCCCTACGCGGCCCCATAGCCGCCCCTACGCGGCCCTGTTGCCGCCCCTACGCGGCCCCGTAGCCGCCCCTAGCGGCCCCGTAGCCGCCCCTACGCGGCCCCGTCGCCGCCCCTAGCGGCCCCGTAGCCGCTCCCCTCCCTACGCGGCCCCGTAGCCGCCCCTACGCGGCCCCGTCGCCGCCCCTAGCGGCCCCGTCGCACCCCCTAGCGGCCTCATCGCCGCTAACCTCCCTACGCGGCCCCGTTGCCGCCCCTACGCGGCCCCGTCGCCGCCCCTACGCAGCCCCGTTGCAGCCCCTAGCGGCCCCGTCGCCGCTCCCCTCCCTACGCGGCCCCGTTGCCACCCCTACGCGGCCCCGTCGCCGCTGACATTCCTACGCGGCCCCGTTGCCGCCCCTACGCGGCCTCGTCGCCGCCCCTACGCGGCCCCGTCGCCGCTCCTAGCGGCCCCGACGCCGCTCCCCTCCCTATGCGGCCCCGACGCCGCCCCTGAGCAGCCTCGTAGCCGCCCCAACGCAGCCACGTCGCCGCCCCTAGCGGCCACGTCGCCGCTCCCCTTCCTACGCGGCCCCGTCGCCGCCCCTACCCGGCCTTGTTGCCGCCCCTAGCGGGCAGCCGAGCCGCCCAGCAGAAGCAGTCGCCCCTAGAGCAGCCGCCATTGCAGCAGCCGCCCTTGGAGCAACCGCCACTGCAACAGCCGCCCCTGGAGCAGCCGCCACTGCAGCAGCCGCCCCTGGAGCAGCCGCCACTGCAGCACCCGCCCCTCGAGCAGCCGCCACTGCAGCAGCCGCCCCTGGAGTAGCCGCCACTGCAGCAGCCGCCCCTGGAGCAGCCGCCACTGCAGCAGCCGCCCCTGGAGCAGCCGCCACTGCAGCAGCCGCCCCTGGAGCAGCCGCCACTGCAGCAGCCGCCCCTAGAGCAGCCGCCACTGCAGCAGCCGCCCCTGGAGCAGCCGCCACTGCAGCAGCCGCCCCTGGAGCAGCCGCCACTGCAGCAGCCGCCCCTGGAGCAGCCGCCACTGCAGCAGCCACCCCTGGAGCAGCCGCCACTGCAGCAGCCGCCCCTAGAGCAGCCGCCACTGCAGCAGCCGCCCCTGGAGCAGCCGCCACTGCAGCAGCCGCCCCTGGAGCAGCCGCCCCTGGAGCAGCCGCCACTACAGCAGCCGCCCCTGGAGCAGCCGTCACTGCAGCAGCCGCGGAGCTCTCGCTCTACACTGGTAGTGGCATCGCCGTTGCCGCCGTCGTACGCCTGCCCTTCTCGCAACTGGTGAGCACTGCCCTGCCCGTACTGCTGTTACTGCTGCTCTTACTACTGCTGCTCTTTCTACCGCTCCTACTGCTCCTGGCGTGCCCAGATGCAGCTCCAGCATCGCCCGCATGAGTCCCTCACCCCCCAACAGCTTCGTGAGTGGTACGCTAGTTGGGGTTGTCGGGGTGGCAGTAGTGGGAGTCGTCCTGGAGTGAGTAGTTCCGCAGCTGCTTGTAGTGGCAGGATGCAGCTCCAGCGTCCCCCGCGTGAGTCCCTCACCCCCCAGCAGCTTCGTGAGTGGTACACAAGTTGGGGTTGTCGGGGTGGCAGTAGTGGGAGTCGTCCTGGAGTGGGTAGTTCGGGAGTTTGTTGTAGTGGCTCGGTGCAGTAGCAGCATTGTCCGCGCGAGACTCTTTCACCCCAGCAGCTTCGTGAGTGGTACGCTCAGAGTGGAGGGTCGCTGAGTAGTGCTCGCTGCCCGTACGTTATTAGCACGGGTGTCCGGACTGGTCAGACTTGCGGGACGCGTAGTCACACAGAGTCCCGCTGCTTCGCGCGTCTGAGCGACGCATTGGCATACAGAGTTTGGCGACGACGCTGAGCTGCTGCTGCTTCCACTCCATGTAGTACAAGGACTCAAGGAACTTCACATCCCTCGACACAGTCAGCTGCTGGCTGGTCAAGTCCCAAATCAGCCAGCCCTTGTGATCCTTAGCAAGCCCCAAGTGCACACCCCATCTCCTAGAAGCTTCCAGTTTTCCCCTCTTCTCCTTAGGCACATGAAACACCACCATGCAGCCGTAGGCTCTCAGCATGTTGACTGCTGGTGCACTCCCATACCACTTGGTGTAGGGGACCCATTGCTTGTCCCCCACTGTCGCCAGCACCCGGTTCTTCACAACAGCGACCTGCCGCAGTGCTGTCACCCAAAACGGATCCAGCAGCCCTGCACGCCCAAGGAGAGTGCGAGCACCTTCCTGCAGGGTCCGGTTGAACCGCTCAGCCACGCCGTTCTGCTGAGGGTTGTAGGGCACCGTGAGTTGATGCTGGATCCCCTTCTTCTTCAGCACCGCCTCAAAATCAGCGCCAATAAACTCTCCCCCATTGTCGGTGCGGATCACTTTGACCTTGTGTCCGCTCTCCCTTTGTGCTCTCGGCATCCACTCCTTATGAACAGTCGCTGCCACCTCCCCTTTAGTCTTGAGAGGGTAGACCCACACCGCACGTGTGTGGTCGTCCACAATGGTCAAGAAGTAGCGGCTGCTCGAGAGAGAAAGGGCCCTTGTGGGGCCCACCACATCCATATGCACAAGCGCGAGTGGAACCTTGGCTGGTCCCGTGCTGCTGCTGAAAGGGAACTTGGTGAACTTTGTCTCAAGGCATGTAGGGCAGCTCCCAATCTCCTTCGCTGCCCCCTTCACCTCCAATCCCTTCAAGCTCCCATCCTTCACCAACTTCTGCAGCATAGGAATGTTGATGTGGCACAGCCTCTCATGCCACGTCTCCCAATCGGCCTCACCACTCCCAGACGAAGCCTTTGCCCATGCAGCCGTTGCATCCACACCAGCAAGCACCTCACCATGTGATTGCTGTGGCTGCTGCACCTTCTTGACTGCATCCAGGGCCCCAGCAGTTGGTGCAGTCTCCTCTCCTCCCGAAGTTGCCTTAGCCGATGCCGCTGCCTTTGCCGTTGCTGGAGGTTTCCCATTCCAAGGGATGATGGGCAGCTGCCACAGGTCCTTGATGCAGCTGCTCTTCTCCTCCAAATCCCACAGCAGCAACTTCCTAAGCTTTGCACGGCAGTTGGTTGGGCCGAACGTGACTTTGGCATTGCTTTTCTGCAGCCGGCGCACAGAGAGGAGGTTAGCGGATAAACCTTCAACCAACAGCACATTTCCCAGCCCCACAAGCCCCCCACTAGCTCCCATAACCTTGGCATTCCTAACACCAATTACAGGGAGCAAGGCACCTGAAGCGGCAGCCACAAACTTTATCTTCCCAGGGGGCTTCACCTCATCAAGCAAATCTGCCCGTGGAGTCATGTGACTCGTGCAACCTGAATCGATCACCCAATGAGTGAGGGGGTGCATCACAACCTTCCCAACTGAACCCACATCACCCCCACTCCCTTGCACATCCTCAACCATGAGGAACATCCCAGGGTCGGCTTTACCTTGTGCACCATCACCTTGTGCACCTGAACCTTGCACAGCACCACCTCGTGCACGTTCACCACTTGGCGGCTTCATGCCTGGAGGTGCCCATCCTTCAGGCCGGCTGAAACACTTGAACCACGGGTGTCCAGCCTACTTGCAGTACCAGCACGCACCCTCCATTCGGGTGCTCCCCCTGCCACCAGAGCTCTCATGCCCCTCGTTGTAGTCACCTCGGCCTCTTCTTCTGCCAAAGCCTCTCCCACGGCCTCGGCCTCTCCCTCCCCCTCTCCCCCTGCTGCCTCCTGCAGCTCCATACCCCTCAGCAGTTTTGTTGGCAGCACCACCTCCCGTGTGGCGCCTGCGGAAGTCCTCCTGCAGGATCTGCTGCCGTAGCCACTCAGGCGTCCACTTGTCCTACTGAGCGTTGAGGGTGGGGATAAGGTTGTCCCACGAATTGTCGAGCACCGAGATGATTTTGGTGCACTGCTGCATTTCCGACACCTTGCTGCCCGCCGCTGCCATCCTCGCATAGGTGTCCTTGATCTTGTCAAGGGCCGGCTTCACATCATCTCCCGGCCGCATGGAGAGGGCAGCCAGCTCCTTCTCCAATACGATCACCATCGGCAGCGTGTTGGGTTGAACCACGTCGCGTAGCAGCTTCCACGCCTTCGGTCCCGAGTCATCGAGCTCCACCAAATCCTTGATGTGCTGGAACATGTCGTTGTTGACCGACTGTAGAATCAAGTCGTACAGCACCACGCTCCGCTCAATCCACCGATTGCGGGCATCTCCTTCCTTGGGCATCTTCTCCTCTCCCATAGCCAATTTGAGCAGCTTGTAGCGCTTGAAGGCGCTCCTCATCCGCCCACTCCACTCTTCATAGTTGGAGCCATCCAATGCCTCAATCTTGGATGGTGGCGGCTCACTCTTCTTCTCAGCTCCTTCTCCACTCCCTTGACTCATCTCCTCTGCTCCCAATCAGAGGTTTCAGCTCCCCCCCTTTGCTGGTCACAATGTAGATCCACACAATCTTCACAAGTGTCGGCGCCAACGAAATTTCGGCAGAGTTTCCCCTTAGCGGAAGTCACATGCAACCTCTAGAACTCCACTTAGGCACGCCCACAGGCCATGGTGGATCTAGGAGGGTCTTCACACTTCAGTAGACTCTCCACAAAGTCCTTAATCAGCTCTGATACCACTTGTTAAAAACTAAGGACGGAGTCTATGAAGATTAGGTGCCCAAATTTCTCAAAATCGTTGGTCTCAATTTCTGGACAGAAACGTCGACTTCAAAAGAAACGTTGTCGACAAAAGGTGCACTGTTAGAATCCCACGAAATTTGAATATGTTGTACCCTAGACCGTGGCTACATTTCCCAATTTGAATCGTATCAAAATATGAAGCACATCTCGAGTTATACGTTTCGGCGCACTAGGGGGTATGCTGCCACAGAAATTTAACTCAATCACAATTAACTCACAAGTCCCACAAAAGAACATTAGAGTAGCACTAAACCTGGTAGGAGGGGAAGAGGAGGACGAGAGGGAAGGTCCCAAGAGAGAGTCCCCAACCAAGGAAACCCCATGCCACACAATTCCCTTCCCCATAGGCAACAAACTTTGACCTTTGTCACTTTCCAACCCATGCCATCCACCTCACCACAACTTGGCCACACTTACCAACCTGGTTTGGCTTCACCCAACCTCTTGACAGCATCTACAGTGATGGTTTCGAATTTCCCAACCCCCACAAGTCTGTACCCCATATTGAGTCAATGCCACAACTTCCCAAAGTAGCTACAACCAAAATATATAAGCATACGAACTCCGATGTTCGTAATTTTCTTGGTTGTGCTCCGATCGCGACGATTCATGGTTCGTCAGAAAGCTCTTGAGTAGATGAATCACTTCAGATATCTGCTCAAGCCAAATAACATACACACATACACACACACACACACAGAAAATCCAAACCACACAAGACACAAATTTCTTGCACACGCTCACACCACGCATGCAACGCACAAACACATGATGGGAGGCAGACAGACGTGAATGCATACGGTTGCATCACACAACAGATCTCAGCCTCACAACTGGAGCCGAGAACAGAAGACGAGCGAGTAGCCCGCCACGAAACAGAGCCGGAACCAAGGCTGAAGGTGTAACCTTGTGACGACCGCTGCGTAGCCTGGTCGTCAGCCCAAGAAGCGTCTGCGTGACCAGTGAGGACCACTGGACTCCGCCCTCCAAGCACTAGCCCCATGCCCGACGTACTGCACAAGTAGCGCAACACCCTCTTCGCTGCAGCCATGTGCTCTGGTCTGTGTCTCCCAGGAGCAACATAGCATGCGAGAATGCTAAGAGGGTATGCAAGGTCAGGTCGTGTGCAGGTCATCAGGTACATGAGGCAGCCAACAAGCTCTGGGTACGGGCCACTCGACTCTACGGACTCATCCGAAGGCAGAGCTGAGAGCGAGTGGCGAGTAGGCAGAGGAGTGGCCTGAGGCGAGGAGTACGTGAAGCCAAAGCGCTGAAGGACCTGCTGCACCATGTGTGACTGAGTCAGGGTGATGGTGCGGCGTGCTCTGTCCCGAGTGATCTGCAAGCCAAGGTAGCTGCGCAGTTCACCCAGGTCTGTGCACGTGTGTCTCTTCTGCAGCTCGGACTTCACGTGGGCGAGTCCAGCAGTGTTAGCAGTGGCAAAGACCAAGTCGTCGACGTACACGAGGATGTAGAACGGCAGCAGAGAAGTGTCGGTGCGTAGAAACAGCGACGGGTCGGCACTAGAGGGAGCAAACCCAAGAGCCGCAAGCATAGTCCTCAGTGTGTCGTGCCACTCACGCGGTGCCTGGCGGAGACCGTAGACTGGCCGCCGAAGGCTCCACTGGGTGCCAGGAGGAAAAGTCCCAATGAAGCCTAGTGGGCGGCGCAGCCAGATCTCCTCGTGCAGGCTGCCCTGCAGGAAGGCAGTG